GTCGACGCAGATCGCTCCATTTACATTATCGACCAAGGTATTTCGTTTATTAAAATAATAAATAATAATAATTATAATTTTATACAATAAATTATTTAAATAAAATAACGATGACTTTACTGATTAAACAGAACATAAGTTAAGTGCGAGTATGCTACATTATTGCCGTAAATAAAAAATAGAATTGTGCTTTTCTGCAATTCCAAATCCTAAATAGCTATTGACAAATATTTTTATGTGTAAATTTATGTGCATAATAACTTAAACATTTTTGTGACTAAACTGTTAATAAAATAAATGTATTGTTTACTAAGTCCAGTTATAATTTTAAATATTTAGATTTTGATAAATGCTTAACAAATAAATTAACTATTTACTTTTTTACATATATTTAATACATGTATTTATTACTAGAAAGAAATATTTACTGCTTGGTTTCATTACTAAGTTGTTATATAATGTTCCTTGTTATATCAATCGGCATTGGGTCTTCCCATTAACTGTCGTTAATTAATTATAATCAGCCAGGACTGGATTTTATTCTATCATCTTCCATTGGTGTATCGTCTAAGAGACAAATCTATTTCATAATCAGCCTTATTAAAAACATGTTCTTTACTTAATTTTGTTTAACACAATTTTTTCATTTTATGGCGATAATTAAAATACGAGTAGCTAATATGTAGTGCATTTCTTAACAGCATTTATGACACCGTCTAGACACCGGACTGGACTGTAGTAATATGCATTATTATGCATTTCCCTTCGTACCTAGATTTTATCGTGATTTCAAGAATCTGAACCGTGTAATGTCAAGCAAAGTTATTGCATAAACCCTATCTCTTAGGCAATGGAGTCTTACTAGAGACAAGTCGCGCAATACAAGTCTGAACTGTTATATAATTAGTGGATCAATGCATCATAAAATGTCAGCAATATTTTAGAAGTTGAACTAACAATTGTAAATTGTTTATTGTTTATTATAACTAAAATGAAATAATTATGTAATTTACTAGATTTGTACGTTTTTGTTTGTAGTTAAAATGGTGGTAAATCTTGATTTAATTTGTTTAATAGCTAATGAGTGGATGCCGTATTAGTATAGCTTTTAAATAAAAAAAGAAACAAAATCTGTTCTAAGTAGTGTGTCACCTCAGAACTATAAAAACTTTTACCAACATTTGTCCAAATAAGTCCTCATTTGCTAACAATATTTTCAATAGTAATTTCAATTATGTATTTACAAATCCAATAAAAACTATGTAGAAATATAAAAAAATACTTCGAAGCGAAGATAGATAACCACCTTCTTTTTTTGAATTCAGTAAAAATGTTTAATGTTGTAATGTGTTGTTTTTTTGTGTGTGTGTTATTTCTTTATACGTTTGTTAAAGAATTTAATAGTTTTCTACAGTAATATATGGAATATACATAGATACTATATATATAACACAGCATTTTTAGTTAATAAAGTCGTATAGCGTTGTGTCTTAAAATGTCTCATTTTGTTCCCTACTAATGTAATAACTTCGAGAGTAAACTATTTGTTTATTCACGTTTTCACGTCTTGCCCGACAAACAAATAACTATTAGGATTCAAAAGAAAAAAGAAATAGTCTAACTTTTTTGAAATAGGGATTGAAAGTTAGTACGACCAAACTATTGTGTCATGCAAAATTTTGGTTACAAGACAAATAATTACTATGGGAATGCTTTTGTAGGTACGAACTAGTTCATACTACCCAGTAACTTAAACAGATAATACTCGTACTAATCTATTCGTTAATGTTTTTTATGTTACACTATTGTACTACAGGTATGCAATAAGTAGTTGCTTTTATTTTAAGTATTTAATTTAATTGTCTGTTGCTATAAACGGACTGATATTATTAAAGAATGTTTGTTTTTTTATATCAGAAATGGTGAACAGATCAATATAGTATCAATATAAATAATGTATATGTTTCGGACTAATTTTACGGACATAATTTTCTTCTTCTTTATATATGCTTTATTAAAAATATGTTATGTTAAAAAAGTCTGACAAGAATACCACCTAATACAAGCGGTATTTTTTCTTAGCTTTTTTAGCATATACGTTATACCATAATTAACCAAGTGTTATTTGAAAATTTCATGCTAATTACTTCAGCTGATTTTTCTTCATTAATATCTAAACGATATGACTTTACTATATGTAAAGATAAAGATAATGATTACATAAACTTTTATTCTATTTATAATATTCGTTTACACGCGTTTAAAAATATCAGAACGTTAAGAAATATCTATTTGTATGATTAACTACCTGTAATAATTCAGTTGTTACATTAATAACCTTTACGAATCATTAACTATCTAAATTATAATCATAATTGCCAAAACAAACAAATTCACATACATCTTTCGACATATTTTGAGCAACGTCGTAAACATAGCGATCACTATATTAGGTCTAGGCCATGTTTGCCATATTTTCCGATGTGATGTTACCAAATTTGATAGTTGACCAATGCAGCCAAAATAACACACAAGATTGCATGTAAATCTGGTAAAATCATTGCAAGTTTCAAGACAACACTATTAAATTAGAAAGCAAATACGGGTGCTGAATTTGTCTTCTGATTTCATTCATATCTCTTGCATCTCGTTTCAACATATACATAAAACTATTTTGCTATCCCGTTCGCTTTAACACGTAAGTATGTAATAGCTGACCCGCACAACTTCATCTGCATTACATTTACTTGACATTTGTCATTATATTTCATCCAATTTACATAATATCTTTTTAAATCTAGTTATACATCAGAATAACACATAGGCCTATGTGTTATTCTGATGTACAACTGTAAAGATTCATCAAAATCCGATCAGTAGTTTTTGCATGAAAGAGTAACAAACAACCAGCTTCATCTATTCATCCATCCATCCTTACTTACAAACTTTTGCGCTTACAGTATTAGTAAGACTACATACATTGTGGTTTGTATCTTTGGGGAATCGTAACACATTTTACATATTTCTATATATAGACATTCATACTTCATTATATGATCACGCAATAAAAACACATGAATTATTAATCTGTCATACCAATAATAATTTATTTATTTTTTGTTGAAAATATCAATAAATAACACTGGTCAATTCACATAGTGTACCAGATTAGGCAGAACTTGTACCTTAAGAATTTATCTAGTGCATTTTTGGAAGTATTACATAATATTTTTTTATAAATAATAATAAATATATGCGTAATAATAATATACATAAAAATCACTCAGGCCAATACAAAGAGGTACCGGTCGCTCCAGAGATCGTACCCGCAACCGCACCATTTGTAAGTTAGACGGTGTGTTAAACCGTTATACCATCAAGGTCAAATACAAATTAATTATTATAGATATCATAATCATATTCTGACGGTGGGAAGTTCTCCCGCTACTAAAGGGCTCAAAACCCATTGACATGTTTATGGTGTAAAGAGGACGTGTAACCTTGACTCACTGAACGTTATAGGAGTATTACGTATTCTGTGGTCATACGCAAGAAAGGAGTAGTGAGTGCCCTTATTGAATGTCCTTATACATTTGAACCCGAATAGGGGGAAGGAGATTTGGTAGTATTATAGTAGCACCATTGATCGCACTATAGCACTATATCCCATCTAGGCGTCATTCACTCGGTCTCACCAGGATACTAATTTGGTTAATACCTGATGAATTTATCACTATTAGGCTACCTGACCTTGCCTTTACGCTCAGATTATCATCTCCCACTGCTATCCCGCTAGAGTATATCAACGCTATAATATAAACTGTAAGAATAACGCTTAATAAATGAATTAAAATGAATATACTTACGCCTAACAATTTTCTGTAAGAAAGTGTCTATTGCGTAATCTCTATTGTCTATGGTTTTGTTATAGTTTTTTGACGCGAACTTTCCTTTGTGTCTCCTTTATGGTTATCTTAGTATAATTTCATAATCTGCAATTCAATCAATAGGTTTAGACAGCAACTTATGTCGTAATGTACTGTCCCCCGGTCCCTATACGGATGTGTTTACATTACAACAAAGTTCGTGCTTGAAATTGCCTAACAACAATGAAATTTTACTATTAACTGTATTCTGCAGGGATATGAATAATGTAAAACTGTCTGCAAAATGACACTAAAATAATTGTAACAGCGACCTAGATCAGCTTTTTTGAAACTAAATCTGGATCGATTTTGTTCATTATTCACAGCGAGCCGATTACACTACCAGCATTCCTCCGTTTTTGCCCCAGATTTTATTGTCGTATGTAGGCCATTTAATGGAAAGAGCATATCCTGTAAACGTGTAAGTCAACTTTTCATAGAGCGTGGTTTAAAATATACATACCAACATTATATGTAGTTTGAAAGGGCCCTGCATATATGTCTCTCCCTAATCTAAAAACAGGAATGCTATGTAAGAAGATCTTGACGACCTACAGATACCTAAGTATTTCGTCAGAACAAGTCATTTTGGAAATCATTGAATAGTCTTTGTTTATACGGCAATATTTTACATACGACCAAACAAGTACCTATTGTTGCACCTAAATCGCGTATTGTCGAGTTGTACAGACAATGGTTAAGTTTGGATGACCATTGCAAGGTTTCATTGTGGTCCGGGCCTGAGCCAATCTCCCATGTCGTCTGTGAATCAACCATTGTTAATAATCATTTGTTAAGGTAAAACCATAAGGTACACTGGTTTCACCAAAATAATATATTTTTATGGGTTCTCTAATAATATTTCATTTAGAAAAATCTCTCTGACTGTTTACTTCCACTAGGATTATAAAGGCGAAAGTTTCTGTGGATGAATTTATAGATGGAACGTATGATTGTTGCGCTCTCACGCAAAGACTACTGAACTGTAAACTAAAACATAAATATGTCTTTAATACATCTAAGGTTTTTCAGACGTAGCCAAACACAATAAAGTATATTTTTCTTTTGTTACAGGAAAAAAGATGCCGGAATCCGCCCACAGCTCCGCAAAAGATCGAAAGAGTCATAACCTTATGTCAAGATGAAATCAAACTATCTATACTTCGAGGTAAGCTACAACTTATTTCATTTACCTACATTACTTTAAATATAAACAAAATGTGGTAAGTAACCCATTGATTACATGAATGGAACTACTCTCCAATATAGAAAATTAGAATACACTTTACACTTTACAATGGCGATATAAAAACATAAATTAATGACCTCCTCGGTGGGCTAGTAGTTTATCACACCGCCTTAGTCAGAACGGTAGCGGATTCGATTACTCGCATGGTACAAAAATTTGTTTTCATGAGTTTGATTCTTTGTATTAGTGTTAGTGTTTTACGTTTTATTTACAAAAAATGCATAAGTTCTAACAGTTTGATAATGCACTTCTGTTTGTAATAGTTGTCTAGTTAAAATTATATGTATATATATGTATATACAAAGTTTGTGTGTATGTTAAACTAATAGTTATAGATAGCATAAATACAACGCATCTTTTGGCGTGAAGGTAAACAGTGCCCAAAACGCGATCAGTCGGGGTCATGCATTCAAGGTCGCTGGCAGTCGCGGTCTGTATGCAGTGAAAGTACTCGAGTTGGAGCATGTTGCTATATACATATATATATTACAATTCACTAATAGTTTATACAACCTAATTGTTTTTCGACAAGATTTGTTATTTATTTATGTATATAAGTGTACTAATATATTATAATACCTTGCGGTATTATCTACCAGTCACCCAGTTATGCTGCAAATAATTATTGTTACAAATTATCTTAGCATTTAATTTCATAATTTGTACTGGTTTTATAAAGAGGAAATATTTTTTTATGTATGTTTGTTTGTAATGGATCAATTTACGAAATAATAGAATATTTTTTAATTCTTTAGGTGATATCTATGTGTGTGTCTGACATTCCTACATACATATATTGATATACCAAAATATCGTGATTATATATTTGATGTCAGTACCCATACTGGGCCTATATTTTTATTTGTATTCCCTGTAATCACTAACCAAACAGCCAGTCAATTTAATGTAATCAGTCTAGTTACCACCGATTTCAAAAAAAAAAGTTACCCATAAAATACAGACACTTTCGTATGCACAAAATATTTTTAAGAAAACGACACTCCCGGTTTCCGTACTTTGTCGATAAACACGTAAGACTATTTAACATTGAAACCTGTTAACCGTATTTTCTTAAATCGTCAAGTAAACCGTAAAACAAGTCACAATGTTGTGCCCGATGCATATTCACAATATGAGACTAATCGACTAAAACATATACGTACTTAAAAGGAAGGTTGAAAAACTAACTGTAATATCTGAGATCACTCAACGCTGACTCATTTCGCAATAGGAGTCTGTGGGATGTAAATTACCTAATTGATAGTGTTTGTTCGCGCACAAAGAGTCCTACTAATAAATTATTAACGTGAAAGTCCGTACGTATTCTTAGATTAATGTTACTCATTAATGTAGAAAGGGCTGGAAAGAATCGTTTACCGAGGTATCATCATCATCAGCGTGGATACATCAGCCTTGCCTATTTTAGCCGCTGCAGCAAACTCAAGCTGCCTACTTTCCTAAATTTGTTTCAACTGAAGGCGAGTTAATGCAGTAAAATTAAACGACACAAGATGGCCGTTTGTTTCTCATTCCAGTTAAACAACAAAAAACTTGTACACCAAGTTTTCGAGTTTACATAAAAAGAAAATTAATAAGCGAGCGAAAATTAAATATAAGTGGAAAAAGGGCCAAATATTTCTTCTCTCACTGACTACCGATCTTTCCGTGTTATTAGTCTGTAATTATCTTGGATAATAACCCCTTAATTAACCACTATTATCTCTATACGTGGAAATAAAACTGTTTCGGTATTCTGTGTTTTGGGAGAGCATTGCAACATTTTACTAAAATTAAGTTAAAAGGTAAAATTAAAATTTTCTTCTTTCTCTAATATATCTCTAATATATTCGCTTTTGTATAAGAAGGAAAATATGTACATATATTATAATGTATGTATAGCATTACATATCCATAGTATTCAAATCCCGTACTATTTATTGATCACGGCATATTTTTGAATTATAGGAATCAACTCGAGACACCAAAAAATTTCTTATTAGCAGAGAAAACGAATCAAAAGATAATCTAAACTTACATTTTTATAATATGGTTTAAATACATATGTTATAACTATTGTATTATAATATACTTTTTATGTAACGCACTTGCAATTGCCCTGTTGTATTGTAAACATGTACAACCAACATTATTTGACAAGAATACGAGCTATGTTTTTTGTTAGATCTTCTCAGCTCGAAAGCACTCCCAACTGACGGTAGCTTTGACATATCTTAAAGAGTCTGTAATAGATCTACATGAATAATGATATTTGTAATTGAATTGTTGCGAGGTGCTCACTTACGGTGGTAATCACTTACCATCAGATGAGCCGCAAGCTCGTTTGTCACCTACGCTATAAAACAAAGACCTGCAGAAATGCGGGACAACATACAAGTACTTAATACATCTGTAACCAGAGAATGCTATTCTCGCACCATTAGCAGCATCAAATAAATATTTTCCGCGTATTGTATTAAAAGATTAATTAATATACTTACACTATTGTGTAATGTCTAGTGTGAATAGATCAAATGTTATGATAATTCTATTCACAAGTCATTATTATATGATGTAATTGGCAGGCCTATTTCTCTTATAATAAACAGGTAATGCCGACAGTAGAAATAATGTTTAATTAATGGTAATTTCCCACATGCTGATAGTATTAAGCGGTTAGGTGGCGTCTCGAGCGTTTCTACTGACCTATATACCTACTAGTTGCATAATTCTTGCATAAATGGTTGCAACTGCAACTCGGTGGCTGCGACATGCGATGCCTGTGCTCACTTAACCGTTTCGTTTTTTTTGCAATTAATCGATTGTACATATTTATTTTGTTTAAGTATGATATATATAATAATTTGGCAAAAAATACTTGTAGTGAAAACAAATTAATAGTATCTAAGCTAAAAGAAATTATAGAAATACGTCATATGATTATATACCCTTATTTTAAATGTAAGGATATTGAATAAATACATCTAATTATTTTAAATTACTTTGATTAAGGGATATGATATAAATAATTAATTAACGAATTAAGTAAATTTTTTATTCTTTGCAACATTTACATATTAATTATTATCCATTATAATATATACATGTATATATATACTTAATATTAAAATTTCGTATAATATTTAACTTTGTAATAGTTATTTATTAATGGAGCGACATGCGATTATAAATTTCTTATTCGCATTGTTTGCGAATGATTATAATTTGTTGTATAGTTTTTTTTATTTCAATAAATTTAATAACTTTGGGGAATTTCTATTCCTATTCCTATCATGTTCTGTTATTATTATCATAATTTAAAGGAAATAAGAAATGATATTTTTAAATAGAGGTATTTTAACTAACAATTCAATTTAACATATCGGTAACCTTTGTTTGTTTCTTTGCTTTCTCCATGGAATACAAATAAGAATAGAACAATGTTTATAAAGAAAAAGAATATACATCGGACCAATACATTTAAAATTTCAAGCATGCGCCAGTATTTTGTAATCTTGCGCTAGTCTCACTGCAAAATGTGGCCGTCCTTATGCGACCGAAGTGATTGCAATAACTGTTTATTACTGATATCATTATATTATTTGTAACATTGTAGTTATGAATATAGCTTTTAAGTATGTCAGCAGGCTGTGCACTTTTTTAAAAGAATGTAAAATAATTATATTTTGAAAATTTTTCATATTTGTGTATTCTAAATTAAAGAATCAACACTTACTATTGGCTATCTGAAAATATTTAATATTAGTAAGCTAGCTCCGCACAGATGATTTCTAGGGATCCTTATTTTTAGGATTGGCAACGGACAAGTGACACATCTGGGGTATCAGGCATCCATAGGCTATGATAACATCAGATGGGTCGTATATTTCTGTTTGCCATTATTGTTTGTCATTATTATTTATATAAAATACAACCATTGTTACGAAAAAATTCTTTCATTAGAGCTATTTAGGTTGATCCTATATATTTATAGATATATATAAATAGTTAGCTGCATGACCATTTGCTCGCTTGTAAGCAGTCAAGCGGAGATATATTGGCGGTAATTCGATGTTACAATATCCTATGTAGCCCTGCCGGTTATATGCTACGCAACCTTCCTTTATTGGCAATTGGTTTTGAAATACGTACAGAATTTCTACTCCCGTGTATTGAGTTTGAAATATCTAGTAAACATGAAGCTAATATTATTAGTATATGTTGCTGACGTACTGCCTATATGAGCAGTACTATATATATAGTTTTATATTTCTAAGTGTGTAATGGACATCTTATACTAGTGGCTAACTTATTTCCTGTGTGTAAAAACTCTGTATCTTTGGAATATTTTTATGAATATGAATTTTCTATAATTTACAGAGGCTTTAGACGTCATTAAAGAGGAGCACACGATGCCGGCAGAGAGGCGGCGGAACAAGCGAGAGGTGCCATTTTCACACGACGAAAAACGTATCGCTGGAGTAAGTATGAAATAAATATTACGTTCTGAATTATAAATATATGGCACGTGAGCCAATAACAGTTCAATGTGATCAATTACCTTCCGTTATATAACTTGTATAATGGTTAAGGTAGATATCATGAACTACCTAACTAACATACACCTATATTAACCATTTTAGAAGTTTCGGGCGAAAGGAAATGATTTACGAAATTAGACTTTGGCTCGCGGACTAGTATACCTTCACAACGGTACGTTGTTGTCTACCCCCAAATGGGGTAGTGGTATTGTCAACTGTCCACATCCGTCGTATCGCCCGTCATGGTGAACACGACATTTAACATGACCACATTACATTCTGTATATTTCTATCCCACGTAACAGCGGGTGAGCGGTGGTAACTACCGCTGTTTCTCGTATTAATTAGGTTGTTTTTATTGTGATGATGTTTTTATCACCGGAGAAACCATGCAGTCCCGTCTAGTAACTACTGTGGTTGATTGCTTCTGAATGCGCTATGATGGGCTAACTAATCTGACCTGAATCTTTCACTGGTACCCCACTAACGTATACCAACTTATACTGAAAAAAGTAACTACCAAACCTTAGTAATAAATAACAAAATATAAATTAGTACCTATTTACCGAAATAGTAATGGATAAACTAGTTCTACTAGCAACTATACAGTTTTTCTATTTATTTAACTCAATTTAGTGAATATCAGGTATATTCACTAAATTGAGGTGATTATACCTATTATACTTTCAGTATAGCGTAAGCAGATGTACGATTTCACCATCGATTAAAAAAATCTTATAGGCCATATAGTATTTACTGTTGTCCCATGTGTTTACTTATGACTATAATTACATCAGTTGCATACGGCATAACTATATTGTTACGAAAGCAGATACTTGAGATACTTGTTGGAAAACAATGACAGGCTTCGATTATCGTTTATGGGATTTTAGAAACTTCATATTGTTTTTCTTTTTTCCAGTGTTTGCTGCAGTGCGTTTACCGGAAAGTGAAAGCTGTAAGTATCGTGTTATTCCACAAGTCGCACAACAGTAGAGTTAAACTTATAACATATTCCTTTTTCTATCGGGGCTAAACAGGGGTAAAAGATATTAAAAAACCAGTCAAAATAGTCCAGCCGCGTCCGCGCTGCGGTCGTTTAAATTGCATTTACCTTAAGTTTTATTATAGATTGTACAGTAAACTCGGTCTGGACAAACTATTTGAAGAAACCCAATACACATAAAAATGGGCCGCTGTATTAAAAATAATAAATAAAAATGAAACATTTATTGTATGTAACTTTGGTTGTATTTCATAAAGGTTCAAGATCAAACCAACTGCATGAATAATATAAAAAAATTCAATCATAAAATTAATTTTATATCGCATTTCAATGCTTTATGGTACTGTCACAAGTCGATTGCTCCAATTTGTTAACTATAAAACATACGCACAGAGTCGTAAATTGAGAAAAAATCCAAAAAAATATATCGTTGTCTATTTATTGCTCATGAAAAAAATCACCTCAACAGAAATATTACGGCTATAAACTCTCACACGAACCCTTAACAATTTGTTGTTTATTTTTCATATGTATTCAATTTATTATTATGAATATATATACAGTAAGTGAATAAGGATAGTAATAACAGCTGTCGGCTCTGTTACTTCAATATAATTTTATAGGAATATTTAGGTCCTGTTCTTAAAACGGTTAAGTATTTAACTCAGCCTTTATTTGGAATCCCAGTGCAATAAACTTTTAGCGCTGTAAATTACGACTTATTTTTAGATTGAAATAATGGCCGACTGTAAGAAAATGAACCTTATCGTCTTCAGTTATATCCTTGCCATGGTAGAGTCCATTGTCTAATTTAGTAGAAAGATAAAAATATACTAAATAAAATATTTTGTGACGTGTATGTTTTCAATAACATGTTTACTGTAGATGAAAGAAATTACAAATAACACTAGCTGACTAACTGCGACTATATCCGCGTAAAATAGTGACCTTGACCAATTAATGAAAAAATATTTAATAATTCAACCCAATAAAATACAAATAATAAAATTTCGTCGTTCTTTCTACAAAAATGACGAATTTCTATACATAATTCCATACAACTCAACCAACACTTACTTACTCCCATTTCAACCCCTTACAACCATTTTTCTTTTGAAAGTGTCACATATGAATAAACAATTTTACCATTAACTTTGACTATAAATTCATACCTAGAGTGGTGCATAGGATTTCATTACCTAGTACTCATGTTACCAAAAATATTGATATTTTGTAAAACCCTGTCCTACTAATATTTTAAAAGCAAAAGTTATGTACAGGCATTTGTTATTATTACATACAAATTCTACTGAAATTTACTATACATATTTATTATAAATATATATATATATATAAACACCTCTTTGGGCACTTTGTTGATCACGCCTCAACCTAAACACTTGCCGATTCCACCTTTTGCACTGAATAACTTGACTCCTATCGCGTATATCTCAGGCGGTCTGGCAACGCCGCATTCTACTTTGCGATGTGGCCATATATATTCGTCGATAGTACGATATACTCGACACATTTTTTACTAATAATTCGTGCATGACTGGCTCCGAACGGCTAAATTTTTGGTATACACAAAGACTTTTTGGCTCTGAATATATTTCAAAAATCAATTAATTATGTTGATCACTTTATATACTGGTCCTTACTGCGATACTTATTTTCATCCGAATATATATAGATACCGTAACGGTCTATCAATTATGATTTTATTAATTTACTAATGTAGATATTTTATATTCGCAATGCTCCATACATGCAAGCTCCAGCAACGGTGGAGGCAGGGTCCCCCTGCACCGTACACCGCACCCCGCGCACACAAACAAATTAGATATTTTTTGAATACACAAAGACTTTTTGGCTCTGTATATATATTTCAAAAATCAATTAATTGTGTTGATCACTTTATATACTGGTCCTTACTGCGATACTTATTTTAATCCGAATATATATAGATACCGTAACGGTCTATCAATTATGAATTTACTAATCTAGATATTTTATATTCGCAATGCTCCATACATGCAAGCTCCAGCAACGGTGGAGGCAGGGGGAGCACCGTACACCGCACCCCGCGCACACAAACAAATTAGAATAAATTAAATTCATAAGATTATTTATGTATTTCGACTGCCTCGGTGGTCACACCGCTTTACATCCGATGGTCGCGGGTTCGATTTCTCGCACGGTGCAAACATATGTACTAATCGGTCATCGATTGATTTCATCGGTCTGGGTGTTTTATATGTATATTGTATATGTATTTACAAGATAAAAATATCTATTTATATCAGTTCAGTATCAGTCTGTGTTAATTGTCCAGGGCTATTTATTATATTTTTATAAACGGTTATCTTTTTCCATCGCACCGCTCGCTATCTACAGTGAATTCATAGAAATGTCACTCTAAAAACAAAAATAGTTTTGTGTTTTGTATTTCAAATACTAAATGCAAAATAGGTATTTTCAAAATACTTTTTCAAAATAAAGTACCTTTTGAATTTTTGTCCAAACCTCAGATATTTTATTTATTTTACATAGGTATATCAATCATTACATAGTGTAGTATAAAACAAAGTCGATGTCGCATCTAACAGTACATAAATAAAGAAAGAAGACTTTTTGGCTCTGATACCGTAACGGTCTATCAATTATGAATTTATTATACCTAATCTAGATATTTTATATTCGCAATGCTACATACATTGTAGTATATAGTGGAGGGACTAAATAGTTGAGTAAAACTGAATAAGCAGTTGCTCCACTCTATAGGTATGCGTCGTCGTCGTATGCTGTTCATTTTTTCACTCGTTTTGGCGCCAAGAGAGGGTCACATAGTCGTGGTCAAGTTAAGAACTTATAATTTAATTTTGATGACAATAGATACAAGTAAAAAGTAGGTATTATATTAATGTACGTAAGTACTGTACTTAAAAATATTTATTCTTTATTGTACATTTGAAAAACTTAACACTTAAGGACTTGTACATATACACGTACATACTGCCATTTTCTCTTAAAGACATCCAGAGAAGCACTATTTATCAAATACGCGGGGTGCACCGACCTTTGACCTTATAACAGCTGATTCGCGCGTAACGAATTACATTGCTACTTACATTACTATTTTATAGTGGATATTTCTCTATAAAATATTATTATTTCTTTAGATTATGACATAATAGCATAGTTTACATGATTTTAAGGGAAACATACGATAAAAAAAATTCCCGTAAAATGTAAAAGATAAAAAATGATTATTGTTGGTTATCCTTGAGAGATAGACATATACCATCACGGACTTTTTTGTTGACCTTATTTTGATACATCTCAAAGCACTAGACAATACGCATTTTCATTAAACAGTATTGTATTTTTTTTATTTATTTAACTTTAATGCACAAAAAAATTTGTACATGTGGCGGACTTAATATCTTGCCGCGTTATTTACCAGGCAACCATGAGTGGTGCAGCGAAAGATTATTGGCGGTGCACTAATATAAATAAGAAATGTCAAAAAAAGATATATAAATACAAAGCAAAATATACATTTCTATAAACAAATAACAATATACATACATAAATATATAACCCATAAATGTATAAATAAATACATAATGATCCGATAATCAAATTATAAGTACAGTCTCAAATTGAAAGTAAGAAAAACAGAAAATATAGAGAGAACTATAGGGATACAACAGAAAGATGTGAAAAAAGGAGAAGGACAGTAAAAAAGTTACAAATTTAAATAATGTTGCCGCAATTTCTGTTTAAATGAATTTATTACATTATTATATATATTAGGCATACGACTAGCCTTATGACTGTTACTTTTTTTTTAATCTATACATCTATACATGTAAATAAAATTGGAGTGTCTGTTTGTAATATTGAAATAACCGTTTTTACTACTTGCATATGAATATAAATCCGGTACATACACCAAAATAACATATTTTACAAGTTTTGTCTGTCTGTCTGTCTGTTTGTTCCGGCTAATCTCTGAAATAGCTGGACCGATTTTGACGGGACTTTTTTTGGCAAGTAGCTGATGTAATAAGGAGTAACTTACGCTACTGTTATTTTAGAAAAATAAAATAAAATTTCACGCGGACGAAGTCGCTGGGGCCAGCTAGTCTATAGATATACCGAGATTTAATATTTAAGTTGCTATTATGTTGTTGACAAAATTTTACTGTAATGTTACTATTACGTTATCCTACACAATTTGTATTATTTTGGATGAATAAATAAATAAATAAATAATAATCTATACATCTATACATACAAATAAAATTGGAGTGTCTGTTTGTAATATTGAAATAACCGTTTTTTACTACATGCATATGAATATATATAAGGTACATATACCAAAATAACAATTTTTATAATTTTTGTCTGTCTGTCTGTCGGTCTGTTTGTTCCGGCTAATCTCTGAAATGGCTGGACCGATTTTGACGGTACTTTTTTTGGCAGGTAGCTGATTTATAAGGAGTAACTTAGGTTACTTTTATTTTAGAAAAATAAAGTTTAATTCCACGCGGACGAAGTCGCGGGAACAGCTTGTTTTTAATAAAAACATCTTTTTTGTGGTACTTGAGAATGTTGAAGCCTGTTGTTTGTAATATTGAAATAACCGTTTTTTACTACTTGCATATGAATATAAATACGGTACATACACCAAAATAACATATTTTACAATTTTTGTCCGTCTGTCTGTTTGTTCCGGCTAATCTCTGAAATGGCTGGACCGATTTTGACGGGACTTTTTTTGGCAGGTAGCTGATGTAATAAGGCTACTACCTAGTAACTTAGGCTACTTTTATTTTAGAAAAATAAAGTTAAAAACCACGTGGACGAAGTCGCGGGAACAGCTACTGTATAATATATTAGAGATACCTACGTGTTTTTTTATTGATGACTAGCTGTACACGGGATTTCGTCCGTGTGGAATTTAACTTTATTTTTCTAAAATATAAGAAGTTAAATTCCACGCGGACGAAGTCGCGTGTACAGCTAGTTGTCGGTAGTCTAGCGATTTAGCTAGCACACTGCTTTGATTCCTGCTTGGTGGTCGAGGGTTCGATTCCTCGCACGCTGCAAACATTTGTATTCATGAGTAGGATTGTTTGTAACGGTCTGGGTGTTTTCTATGTATAGATAATATATATGTATTTACGAAAAAAATCTTTGTATTTATATCAGTTGTCTAGTACCCATAACATAATCTTCAGCTAGCTTAACTTGGGTCTAGATGAAGCTGTGTGAATTGTCCTGAGATTACTATTATTATTAATTGGTACACAGGTAAACTACTAACTAGGCCATATTGGTGTTGTTTGTTATGGTGAAAAAACTAGTATATATATAAGTTACACGTACAATTTCAAAGACTTATTTCTTCAAAACTACTGGCTATTCTGAAATAAAACTTTAGGGTTTGTATATGTAATGTTTGCATATAAAATATGATTAAAGGTTACCAGTGTATTTACACTTTTACTGAACAAACAGAGTTGTTTAATAGTGAAAATATTGTGTGGAAGACATCAATTACTTTCAGTGCATGTATAGCTTTTCTCTTTTCCTAATTATTATTATTATTAAGTTTAAAGTGGTTGAATTTTACGTAAGGGGTATTTATACATTATTTCTAATTTACCATTTATTTTAAGTTTTTTAAACTCTATTCATCGAGACCTATCTAATGAGTCCAAACACGATATATCTGCTGTAAGTTTTCGAAGAGTATGTTCATCATCTGATAATACTGGTGCCAGCATGAAGTCAAGGTTAACAGATAACTAATTACTTTTATTTCGTCAAAATCTTTAGATTACGTATAATAAATTCATAATATCGCTACCTATTCAAATCAAAACAAGTATTAGGTACTTCATGTACTAGTATATAAATTCATCAACACACAAGTAAATGATTTTTAAATATATTCAGAGCCAAAAAATCTTTGTGCATTTAAAAAAAATTGCCGATACGGATTCACTATTGCAGGAAATTGTTGAAAAAATATATATCGCGTATAGGTATCTACTACTATCGACGAATACATTTGGCAACAACGCATGGTCTCGGCTGGAACGGCAACATCGCATATTAGAATACAAAGATAATGGTAGAAAGAGAGAGACAGTGGAATCAGCAATATCTACGGATCGTGGCTGGATCAACTAAGTGTGCAAGTTTATATAAATGTATATATATATATATACATTTGTCTTTAATTCAAAGGAAATATAAATAATGAACGCATCACATTTAAAACAGTATAAATAGTTAATAATTTAATAATAAGTTAATAGTTTAATAAGTACGTACGTAATATTATCACATGGTAACAGCACGTATTATGGCAAAAATAAACATCGGCTGATTTGAAAAGATTTATTATAGTAATAATAGTAATCTCAGGACAATTCACACAGCTTCATCTAGACCCAAGTTAAGCTAGCTGAAGATTATGTTATGGGTACTGATATAAATACAAAGATTTTTTTTCGTAAATACATATATATTATCTATACATAGAAAACACCCAGACCGTTACAAACAATCATACTCATGAATACAAATGTTTGCAGCGTGCGAGGAATCGAACCCTCGACCACCAAGCAGGAATCAAAGCAGTGTGCTAGCTAAATCGCTAGACTACCGACAACTAGCTGTACACGCGACTTCGTCCGCGTGGAATTTAACTTCTTATATTTTAGAAAAATAAAGTTAAATTCCACACGGACGAAATCCCGTGTACAGCTAGTCATCAATAAAAAAACACGTAGGTATCTCTAATATATTATACAGTAGCTGTTCCCGCGACTTCGTCCACGTGGTTTTTAACTTTATTTTTCTAAAATAAAAGTAGCCTAAGTTACTAGGTAGTAGCCTTATTACATCAGCTACCTGCCAAAAAAAGTCCCGTCAAAATCGGTCCAGCCATTTCAGAGATTAGCCGGAACAAACAGACAGACGGACAAAAATTGTAAAATATGTTATTTTGGTGTATGTACCGTATTTATATTCATATGCAAGTAGTAAAAAACGGTTATTTCAATATTACAAACAACAGGCTTCAACATTCTCAAGTACCACAAAAAAGATGTTTTTATTAAAAACAAGCTGTTCCCGCGACTTCGTCCGCGTGGAATTAAACTTTATTTTTCTAAAATAAAAGTAACCTAAGTTACTCCTTATAAATCAGCTACCTGCCAAAAAAAGTACCGTCAAAATCGGTCCAGCCATTTCAGAGATTAGCCGGAACAAACAGACCGACAGACAGACAGACTAAAATTATAAAAATTGTTATTTTGGTATATGTACCTTATATATATTCATATGCATGTAGTAAAAAACGGTTATTTCAATATTACAAACAGACACTCCAATTTTATTTGTATGTATAGATGTATAGATTATTATTTATTTATTTATTTATTCATCCATAATAATACAAATTGTGTAGGATAACGTAATAGTAACATTACAGTAAAATTTTGTCAACAACATAATAGCAACTTAAATATTAAATCTCGGTATATCTATAGACTAGCTGGCCCCAGCGACTTCGTCCGCGTGAAATTTTATTTTATTTTTCTAAAATAACAGTAGCGTAAGTTACTCCTTATTACATCAGCTACTTGCCAAAAAAAGTCCCGTCAAAATCGGTCCAGCTATTTCAGAGATTAGCCGGAACAAACAGACAGACAGACAGACAAAACTTGTAAAATATGTTATTTTGGTGTATGTACCGGATTTATATTCATATGCAAGTAGTAAAAACGGTTATTTCAATATTACAAACAGACACTCCAATTTTATTTACATGTATAGATGTATAGATTAAAAAAAAAGTAACAGTCATAAGGCTAGTCGTATGCCTAATATATATAATAATGTAATAAATTCATTTAAACAGAAATTGCGGCAACATTATTTAAATTTGTAACTTTTTTACTGTCCTTCTCCATTTTTCACATCTTTCTGTTATATCCCTATAGTTCTCTCTATATTTTCTGTTTTTCTTACTTTCAATTTGAGACTGTACTTATAATTTGATTATCAGATCATTATGTATTTATTAGATATTAACTATTATATTATGCATAAAAAATATTTGTAATAATAAAGAAAATACATTTAAAATGTTTTACTTGTTGTGTTAGTTATTTATAAGATCTTACTATAATTGTTAGCTGCTTTACAATTTAGAAAGTACAATAGGTAATGTAAATTGAAATTAATTGAATACTTAACAACGTTTTGTTCGACTAAATTCATTTAATTATTAAAATAGTTAATTTAAAATTAGAATAAAGACAAAAAAAAATAACAAAAAAAAATCGGTGGCGGGAATCGAACCTTGAGCGTCCGTTTGGTAAGTTGATTTGAAATTCAAAGGCTTATTTCTTCGAAATTACTGGTTATTTTGAAATAATACTTAGGGTTCGCATACCCTTATCGGATACTACTACTACACGGAGTTTCGTCAAAATAAAATATCTAGGTTAGGTATAATAAATTCATAATTAATAGACCGTTACGGTATCTGTATATATTCGGATCAAAACAAGTACTATGAAATAAGAACGAGTATATAAATTGATTAACACAAGTAATTGATTTTTGAAATATATTCAGAGCCAAAAAGTCTTGTTTCTTTATTTATGTACTTGTTAGATGCGACAGCGACTTTGTTTTATACTATACTATGTAATGATTGATATACCTAAAATAAATAAAATATCTGAGGTTTGGACAAAAACTCAAAGGGTAATTTATTTTGAAAAAGTATTTTGAAAATACCTATTTTGCTTTTAGTGTTATAGTACTTTAACTGTTATATTTTAAGTAACAATGTTTAATTATAATTAATACTACTGCACCAACACTCCGATCGTGCAAAAAAATTTGCTGTTTCATTATTTTTTAGTTCAATTAGTGGTCTACCTAAGTCCTGGGCTAAGGGGGGGAGAGTCATGACGGTCCCATGACTCCCATGACCTCCATGACGCTCCCCCCTGGATCCGCCGTTGCGTCTTCTCTTTATTCGCTCAGTAACTTTGTTACAAAAGAAAAGATTCCCGTCCAAAAAATAATAAGTATTGAGGTTTGATCTGGAGTCACGTTACTCCAGACTGATTTCTATAAATATTTAGATTAGATAGACTATTATTCTTGAAATACTAGCTAGACATTATTAAGTTACTGTAGCCATAATGTAGTAGCCCAAACGTGCCAATGAGGAAGCCCTTGGCAAATGCTGCACCCTGATTGGCCCGTTTGAATTGGATCAAGAACTGCTCGTATGCCAAAAAGGTGGATTTGTATAAAATCGTGTATAAATCGCTTAATTATTATTATTACTCGTCGTGACAGTTGTGGCTCAAAACGGATCAACATTTATATATGGTCAGCTGGCATTAGATCAACAAAAGGCCTCCGGATCAACAAGTGAAAATGGATCAACAAAAAACTACCTATACGGCACGTCTGAGCCACAAAGTGCCCAAGGGGATATTTATATATATATAATAAATAATACGATAGATAAACATAATTATTATCTCCTTACCTGAATTCACATTGACAGCTGAGGGATACACCTAGCTAATTTCAGTATAGTCTGTCTTACGATACGTTTTTTCTAATACTTGAATTCTATAATGAACATTTCCAGGTGGACGGTTATGGCTTCCCGACTCTCGAAGGCTTGGTGGGACTGTACTCGGATGGCGTGAACGAGCGAGGATACTTCATGGCTGTGCTAGAAGCATCCAGAGAGTGTCTCATGAGGAATCATGACAAATTCTCCAGGACAATGCCCATGGGTATATTACACTATATTTGACTAGATTTTATTTTCCATATCTTCTCTATTTTTATTCATCCCTGTTCGTAGTCATCTCGTTATTTACTCCCTGTCTTGTCATATCATTTTTCAAAAAGTACATCAATCTCTTTTTCGGCTTTCCTATGCCTCGCAAACCATCCACATTCATGTGCAATACTTTCTTTAAAATATTTCCTTCATTCCTACGTATTACATGCCCATACCATGACAGAATTACTTTTCAACACTGACGCCACTTTTATGCTTCCACTAATGCATTAATTCTTTATTTTGTCCATTCATCTCGCCAGTTGCATGCAGTCGTCTTTCATTCGTTGCCTTTACTTTAAATATTGTACGTCAACTTAATCATTGAAATAAAGATTTAGAGATATCATATTATCAATACTAACCTACATTGTATTTATTATTAATACTTTCTAAATAATAATAATAATTGTAATTATTATTATTATTATTATATTCTGCGTAGTGCTTCATTTTTTATTTACTTTATTTGTGTCACATTATATATGCGACGCAAATAAAGGAACACAAGTCTGCCGGTGTTAATATATTTTTATTTTCAGATAATGGCCGAAACTGCGATGTCTCATTTGACATATTCGAGTGCATATCTGATCGGATTGGCGAATATTGCGGTAACTCTGGTCTCTAAACAATTTACCTCGTTACAAACTTCAATCATGGACTGTCTTTACCTGAATTTAATAGTGTTGAAGATGCTGATCTTTGCTATATTTCTCGCCATACCCTTCTTTATAGGCTAAATCAGTGTTTCCCAACCTTTTTAGAGTATTTAAAAAAAAAATTAAATAAAGAGTCCATTTGCGAATTGACACGCTTAACAATCTAATGGCCCTCCTATGGAGCATGGGTCTTACGTTGGGAAACAGTGGTCTAAATAGTCTAATAGAAATATAAGTCTATTTAGGCATAACCGTGTAGAAGTAACACCAGTGTGGAATGTTGAATACGTTAAATCGTTGAAAAAAAACTATTTTTGTTACAATAGCTGTGGGTAGGAATAAACTAATAATTTAATCTTAAATTAATTACAGTTACAATAGTTATAAAATTCTTTAACAGATTCGACAATGTACATATTATGGGGGCTGTTATATCTGCCGTCTCATACTTACATCTAGTACTTTTTCTACCTAGTCTTAATACTTACCATCGTCTCAACGGACAAATGGTTATTCGCCACTTTTTTTTACAAATAATAATAAATTAGATTTCCTCTTTTTTATAGAAAAAATGTTAGAATCTTTCCTTTACTAAAATGACCTAAAATTACCGCTTTAAAAATATTTTTCGTGTTACCAAATCACATTAATATACATAATTTTTAGTATACTATCGTAATCGTTAGCATTGTTCTAAATAGGACTATATAACTACTTAGTTAATAATTATTACCAGTAATTGAATAGAGTTTTGTATTCATTTTATATAAAATGGATTGTGATTAGTAGTAGTTACCATCCATCCAAGGCGATTATATATAAGATATATAATATGTATATAAATAGGTATAAATAATGTGTAATTTGATTAGGCTAAGTAGATTTATTATATTAATTTACTAAATCGTGATGCTCAATAACTACCTAGTAGCTAGTAAAAAAGAATCTATTATAAAACTCTGCTTGCTTTAATTTAGAAATTACTTAATGCTCTTTACATAATTAATTATATATAATCTACTCTCGACTTATTCACTTTGTAAAAGTCTGAGAATTATTATTGTTAAATGGAATATTTAGTTCATCAACCGACTGCCAATGAAGGCCTTTTTATGTCATGATGTTTGTCTAAATTACATTACTATACACATTCTACAAAATAAACTAGGCCTATAATTCTTATTATAATTGATGTTAGTCCTTAAAAACGATGTTAATAGCGATCATATTCTATTTTATGGAACAATATGTAGGTAATAATTCGACAAATACATTAGTAGAATGATTTTGATTACTATCTGTCAATATTTTTGTTACTGTATTCATTTAAAGGCATTAGGTAGGTAGGCACATACCTTGAAATGACTATTGCAAAAAAATAATGATCCAACTATTTCATTTTTAATTTATATCTTTTAGGGACTTTGTCTTATTATTACAAATAATCCTTTATACTCCTATTTAAAATTAAAATTCTAATTCTTTATAAAATTCGAATTCATTATAAACTGCATATTATTTCATTCATCTTCTTGTGATAGTCGGTTGAAAATGGTCTAATACGTTGGCGATGATATTTAATTTCAGGTTTATGAAGTTATAATAACAATGTAATAAAATTACCTACCTATACTTCTTATATTAGTGATGCCTTAATGAACTGATAGATTAATAGTAGCTATAAGTTTTATTCAATAAAATGTATATAAATAAAATGGTATTATTTGCTTTCTCCATTTATGGCATTTTGTATTGGAATATAAAATTTTTTGATGTATATAATAATAATAATAATAACTCCAGGACCATTCACACGGCGCCATCTAGTTCCAAATAATTAATTAAATACGTACATAATGTATGTATATATAGACAATAACCAGACTATTACAAACAATTATATTAATGAATAAATTACTTGGTCCTACCTAGATACATCCCCACAGAGAAATCCCCACGATTGACGTACAAATCTGACTATATTCTTATCCCATCACCCAATACTGCTGACCCGCCAGTGTACACCATTCCTCTCATGGTACAAACATTTGTATTCATGAGTCTGATTATTTGTATCATTCTGAATGTTTTCTGTGTATTATATGTATATATTTAAAAATAAAATCTATGTATTTAAATCAATTGTCTAGTACTAATAACATAAGCTCCACTAATATATAAAAACACATAATTTACGCGACGAGATAAATAAGACATACAAATTAGGAGACGTCCTCTAGGCCTCATGTAATTATTACATATTAATAATGTGGCCATACATATTTGCTATTTTTACACATAAGGCGGTATGTATGTTGTGGGAAATCGTATTAAATCGCATAGATCTTAGGTCACGTACTACGTAGGTATTACCAACGTAATCTGTGATAGTAGACTCAGTAAACCACACATTTTTGTATTATTATAACGGTGTTTCCGTGATACAAAACTGATATCTCATCTGATCTTTCCTAACGTCGTTGTTGATATATTTATTTTATAGCAAACGAGCTTTCGGCTGGTGAGCCGTTGGTTAGGTGTAACGATATGTGAGTAAAAGAGAAATACGCAAGTTTCTTGGTAGTACTTATTGTGATGGGACAGCTTTCCAAATAAACGACAGATAAAAAAAAATGAATATTTAGAAGTGCTTCATTATAAGTTTATTAGCAGAAAGAATAAAAAAAATTACTGCCGCCCATGACCACCCGCACTACCAGCGAAATAACAAGTGTGCTGCAGACCTTTTAAGGAGGAATAAGCTCTTTTCTTGAAGTTTCAATATCCTATCGTTCGGTTGTGCGTGGAAAAAAAAGTATAGCTGATGGATACTATTAATCGACAATGATTAAAAGAGAAATGTCGTATTGCACAAGAATTGAATCTGTTTGAAAATAAGACATAGGTACAGTCTTATTTTCAAACAGATTCAATTCTTGTGCAATACGACATTCCTCTAAATTATTATACCTCTGTATTAGTTCTGGGAGGTATTTCTATATAAATACAAGTACCTATATAAAATTACCTGTACAAATTGTCCAGGGTTATTTATTTATTCATTCATTAAATACATAACCCTGGACAAATAACACAGCGCCATCTAGTGCCACGATAAGCTGAGCTTGTGTCATGGGGTACTAGACAACTTATATAATAACTTACATATTTATTTTATTATAAATACATACATAAATATGTACATAGAAAACACACAGACCGATACAAACAATCATACTCATGAATAGAAATGTTTGCACCGTGCGAGGAATCCAACCCGCGATCATCGGAAATAAAGCAGTGTGGTAAATAGCTAGACCACCGAGGCCGTCGAATACCATGTATATTCGAAAATAATAAATCAGCTTCCGTGTCATAAATCACAATAAACACAAAGCACGAGCAAACTGCCGATACCATCAGAGTATATAACCACAATGCTTGCTTGTCCCACGACCTCATCCACAATATGGTTACTTATTCAGATACGATTGTATGAGCATAATTGTACTTGCTCACTTGCCTACATGCAGGTTTTTCCAAATCCGGAACTTTTTATATAGTTCCCATGGATTGTGGAGTCCACCCAAATTACTTAATCTTAAGTATATATCTACTATTTTGTGTAATTAGTGCATTATTTGCTACATAGTGTGATTACAATTAATTATTTTACGTATACATTTATTTTAATGACATTACATCATTTACCAACAAATTAAACGTCCAGATATATACCTAGTAGTGAATTCTTTCAATAATAATGAATGGTTCATTATTATTGAAAGAATTCACTACACACACAACACAACCATATTGCAATTCAACTATAGCATTAATTGAAGTTTTGGTATAATATTCAGATCTATTCAATCATAAGTGAGTATGGGACACAGTCACCTAGATACATAAAATAATAAATGCATTTAATAATGTCTAGTAAGACAAATTCAATATTGTCTACTAGGCACTGCTGTATCTAAACTGTGTCACCCCACCTTACATTTTCCTACTTTTATTTAGTATATAAGATCATTATTTTTATGTACACATTGTCAGTTTATCACCATATGTACAATACATCGTCTCGACCAGCAACATCGTAATATTCACCCGCAACAGTGGTGATCTGGCCGACGTGATCTGGCCGACGTGATCGAGACGATACCTGGGAAAACAACGAGATCAAACAAGAGATCTCTGTCTGACGGCATCCTGCGCACCACCAACGATTGCACATTGTGAGGCATTAAAAGTCGTTGGCAATACTGCGCAACAAGGATCCTGCCGTGCTACTGACCCCCAGTAAACACAACTGCCTACTGGATATAATCTCTGGACGAAAAATTGAAACTGGAAAAATAAAGCCAAAATTCTGTCTACAAAAGTACAGCCAACAGTTACCGCCGACGTCATTGCACACTGTCGTCACTAATTGCGACACTGCGATCAGAAATGCTGATATACGCGAAAAACGCTCGCTACACACAAACAGACGCAGCAACTACCGATCTAGGTCAAATTCGCACCTACGGTCATTGCATAGTCAGAAAAATGACTATTATTTATATTATATCATCGCAAATATAAAGAAAAGGCATACAAACGTGACATGCCGCGCTCCTATAGACAACCGTCGGAAAACTAGATTCGACGCAGAATAAGACGGAACGCTGTGCTGTTCATCCGTCTAACCGCCTAGCTATAACCGACTCTAACAGTGGCTATAGAATTTTGGTGGACACTGAAAGCAAAAATCTCGGTGAATAAAACACAAGCACAGACCAAAGAGAGCGCTAGCGAATTCAAACTATTCGCCGCAAACAATTAATATGAGCAAATGCGAGTTCTTCACAAATGAGTTAGATTTTCTTGGTTATCATATAACGAGCCAAGGGATGAAACCAACGCAAGAAAAATGGCAAGCAATCGACGAGTACCCTAAATCCACGACAGTCGAAGATTTACGTCGTTATTTGAGT